GTACATTCAACCAGTATCTATCTATCTATCTATCTATCTATCTATCTAGTTTGTTTATATCGTTATTCATCTCTTTTTACCTGTCTATCTGCCTGTCTGTATCTATGTATATATGTATGTATATATCAATTAAAATTTCTTAAAAGCAATCTATCAATTTTAGCTTATGTATGTGTGAGTCTCTCTCTATCTCTCTTTATATATATATATATATATATATATATATGTACATATTAGAGATCTTTCTACGTCAGTCTGCTAATATTTATCTATTTATCAGCTGGTAAATATACTGACATCTTTATTATTAATGTACACTAATATATCAATGGTCATAAGAAGCAAAACAATAATATATATGTGTGTGTGTTTGTGTGTGCGTGAATGTGGAGGTATACAGAAATGAATAATGCAACAAGAAATAAGTCAAAACAATTAAAATACAATAGGCAAGTAAAGAAACCGAATTGCAAACTATTAGTGAATGTGAATAACATATATTATTGAAAATCTAAGCTGAGAACTTGCGATTGGTACAGAAATACTTCCGGCGAGTTGCGTTATGAATAGAATTCACAGATCGGTGTTGAGGAAAGCGTCAAAGAATATGAAAAAAAATCAAAGCGCGAAAAATAGACTCAAGCATATTTTATTATCAACTAAGAAGACTATTCGGAGCTTTCCGGGAAAAAAGAAACGTATATGTTCATTTTTCTCCCTAAATAAGCATTGTTATATTTTGTTTGTATTAATGTGTCTGTTGTACCTTTCAAAGAAAACAAATTAGAAAATTCTTTAAAATCACATGTATGTTTTGAGGGTAAAAGTTTGACAATAAAACGATTTGTTTCGAATCATTTTTAAGTATTAATTTTTTTTCAAATATCTTCCCATAATAAAAACACTAAGAAACAGACGACAACCCCTGTCTGTAATTTCTTTATTTTTAATAACAGTTTTATTCTATGGATATAATAATAATTAATAAAATAATCACACAGAAAAAGAAAGCCCCTCAAAAAAAACCCCAAAAAACCACGAACTTTACGGGGGATTTCCTTTCTACAAAGTCTTAAATACCGTACGGTCACATATCGTGAAATACGTCTGTTTGATTCTTTGGTACGCATCATCAGTGATGTTTTTAGTCGACGTTTAATTAAGGGCTTTGTGTGTTTCAACATCATATCCACCCTATCTACGATGACCCAGCCGATACTTGTATACCATCCGTCAGTTACTACTTTCCTCGTTTTCAATCACACACTTCACCTCCTCTTGGTAATTTATAGTCCAATCAAGGATAACGTTCGGTTCAGAAAATAACTTACAAACTAAGTGCCCCCCCCCAGGATCCCCTACCATATGTCATCATAAGGGTTTCTGTTACAGGAGGCATAAGGGGCATTTCGATATGGCAGACCCCAAAGTGAATATACTCCCATAGCCCATTCGTATATTCTAAAAAAGGATAATCCTCCAGTATGTGTGGCACAGCAAAATACATTCACCATAAAACACATCCTGAAAAAACTGCAGCAATTTTAATTCATTGCTCTGAAAATACTCGTAAACAAAAAAACTTAAAAGAACTTTTTCAAAATAATGATTCATTTTACATATTCCTGTTTTTTAAGGAAAATAAACTGATAGAAAACATAATTAAATAAAATAAAATAAAATAAAAATATAATTAAAATAAGATAATATAAAAAAGCTTATTTAAAATAAATTAAAATAAAATAAAATGTAATTAAAATAAAATAAAAAATATAATTAAAATAAAATAACATGAAATATAATTAACATAAAATAAAAATGAAAATATATTTAAAATAAATTAAAAATAAAATAAAAATATAATTAAAATAAAATAAATGTATAATTAAAATAAAAACAAAGATATATTTAAAATAAATTATAATAAAATAAAATCATAATTAAAATAAAATAAAATAAAATAAAATATTAAAATAAAATAAAAAATAAAAATATATTTTAAATAAATTAAAATAAAACGAAAATATAATTAAAAATAAAATTAATATATAATTAAAATAAAAATAAAGATATATTTAAAATAAATTATAATAAAATGAAATTATAATTAAAATAAAATGAAATGAAATAAAAATATAATTAAAATAAAATAAAATAAAAATAAAATAAAATAAAAATACAACTAAAATAAAATATATATAACCATAACTAACAGTAGTCTTACTATGGTGTTAGAATTTCTTCTCACACAGTTCAACCCTTGGCAGAGACAAGAAAAGACATACAATCAACAAGGCCTACCTTAAAACTTAAAACAAATTTTATTGTATCCTTGCAAAAAAAGATTTTGCCTTTTTTGCCCCTGGAACAGGGTGGGGTAGTTCTTCAATGAATAGGTAGTGTCTTTTACTTCAGTAGGACTCAATTGGTCTCTACGAAGTTGGAGAAGCAGGAATTTGCTGGTCGTTGCAGGAGCATTACCAATTCGGTGGCTGAAGTTGAAACTCGGCTAATGTCGAGATCATGCATAAATTTCTTCGTGTAAATGTACCCATTTGACGACAGTCAATAAATGACTGAATTATACAGCCTTGAAGTATTATGCTGGGACATGACGTCGTCTCTGAAGCATTACCATTTTGGTTGCTGAAAAACAATCATTCCCTAATTATTAAGGATTGGGCACTAAAGGCCGTGCAAAGAGATTCAAAAATGAGTCCGGACATTTCCAATAATATTCCGCAACTGTCTCTGAAGCATTACCATTTTGGTTGCTGAAGAACGATCATTGCCTAATTATTTAGGCTTGGGCACTAAAGGCCGTGCAAAGAGATTCAAAATGAGTCCGGACACTTCCAATACTTATCCGCAACTGAGTTCAAAGGAGCACGGGCCGTTGAAATATGCCCGCGAAAAAACAAAGTCAAATTCGACCAATGAGATTGGTCGTTACAAAATTAGCCAAAAGGAGCTTAAATTGCAGAATTTCTCACAATGGAAAACAAATAAAAGAAATGACAGTTTAAATAAAAGGCTTTATTTAGAAAAAAAAAATGATTAAAATTCTGCATTAAATGACTCGATAGGTTGATATGCCTTAAAACAAACAAAGCAAACAAAGAAACATCGATATGGTGGAATGGTTAGAAAGCTTGTCCAGCTAGATCAATCACAATTGAGTCGTAAGTTCGATCTTCATTAGATGCTGCATAATTTCGGCCTTCTACCACATCTAAGCTATCCTTAGTAATTCCCTATATTAAGAACCACAAGGAGCTACTCTATGTAATCTCGCATTCTCTATCAGATTAGGAATAATTGCGACTCGTCCATTGACCAGTATGTAGGATATTTATACTTGACACCATTGAAGTTGAGTGTCACAAATCAGGTCTGTCAGATTCTGTCATTGATAACTTCACCGTAACCGTGGCTGGGCGATCTTCCCGGAGCTGTAACTTCCAAAGGGGTAAACCAGTAATTTGTTCGGAGGGATACATGCGGTTTTGGATTCATAGGTGTCCTTCGCCTACAGTGATTGCTGACAGCTCGATAAAAGTTTCCCTACTGCTATTTCAAACATAATCGCGAGTGAATGACCTACGTGCGAAAGTGAATACAACGAATTTGACTGGAATTCGAACTCGTCTCCACGAATTCTCTTTCCGTGCTGCTATTCATTACATCAAGGGAATATACTTTACACCAGCCACACATCCAAAAAGGACCTTTAAATTGTACATTTCTGGACATTGTAAATTCTCGTGTTTTAGTGTAGCGTTTGAGAGAAGCAATACATAGCTAACATGGAAAAGAAGCATTTCCAATATGCATTTTAAAGATATTATGGATAGTGCCAAATGATTTCGTAGATTCAGAAATAACCAATATATACGGTTATTATAACGGCACACGATAGCGCCACATGATCTCGTAGATTCAGAAATAACCAATATATACAGTTATTATAACACCACATGATAGCGCCACATGATCTCGTAGATTCAGAAATAACCAATATGATTATCATGATAGCGCCACATGATTCATAGAAATAACCAATATATACGGTTATAACGGCACATGATGGCGCCATGACACGATTATTATAGCGCCACATGATCTCGCCAGATTCCGTAAATAACCAATATATACGGTTATTATAACGCCACATGATAGCGCCACATGATCTCGTGGATTCAGATATAACCAATATATACGGTTATTATAACGCCACATGATAGTGCCACATGATCTCGTAGATTCAGAAATAACCAATATATACGGTTATTATAACGCCACATGATAGCGCCACATGATCTCGTAGATTCAGAAATAACCAATTTTATTAGGTCATTATAAAGAATTTCGATTTGTTGAACCCCTGAAAAACTAATCATACGCGGCAATTCGGAAAGAAATTTGGCGTACACTTTTGCCGGCAGTCTGTTTCAAGCTTCAGATGGAAAATTATATTTTTTTTTGAATTTGTAAATTCTTTCAACTCTTGCGTTTAAGAGTAGGTGTTGACAGTAACAATACATTAGCTAACATGAAAAAAGATGCATTTCAAAGCAGTATTTTTATGGCCTTATGCATATCTCCACAAGATCTCACGCGCTGTTAACCTCAGTATCCACTTTTATATTTACTTACACAATATCTTCGTTATTTAGTACTTTTATTCCTAAATACGGCGTACCTTAAATGTATTTTTATGATATATATAAAAACATTTATTTACCATGAAGTAATTTTTATCGCGCGCGCACTCACACACACATACACGCACACACACACGCGGACACACACACACACATATATATATATATATATATATATATATATGCAGGTAAAATGAGATTGAATAGAGTACATTTACAACGTACATTTAATCCCTCATCCCAGAAATATAGACAGATAATGAAAGGCTGAAACATTGCAATAAATATGGCGACAAAGATGAGGACAATAGTACGAATAATGTAAATAGTGTACATAATCCCTCATCTCCGAAATATAGACAGATACTGAATGGCTGAAACGTTG